TTAAAGGGGCAATGGCCGTTTAAAACAGCAATGCCTGTTGGTTTCACCGGCACTGTCATAGGTCCCTCGACCAAACACCAAAACCTATTCCACATTCTGCGTTGCATGTAACAGTGCCTCCCCTCTCCCAGTGTGTTTACCATGATTTAACATGGCGTTATTCTTGATTTTTTTTCTTGTGTATTTGCAAAATGCAAATCACCATTGCTTCTTTCAGATTTTATTTTAAAGCTGACTCCATTTCTCTTGATTGCAGGTGAAGCGCTCAATGGGCCTGTCTGGGCCATTCCTGTGGTCTCTAAAGTGGTGTGAGATGCATATTTCACTGTCTGAAAAATCCTATCACTCTAACTGAAAACAGATACTTCTGTGACTCCTCATCACCTGGAGGAAAAATCCCAGCTCCCAGCAGTGAGTGCTTGGCCTCTGATAATCCATCAGACTTCATTGCAGACACTCCAGAGCTGCACTTCCTGTTCTCAGAACAACTAGATGTGTCTGGTATACATGTTTCAGTACCAGGTGAGTAAATACTGAAAATATGGAAGAGGTTTTTGGCCCACTTAAAATATGAATCTTTAAGAAGGAAGATGAAACAGTACTATCTAACATTTGCCAATTCAACTACACAACATACAAAAATAGTTATACATAGTTTGCTTATTTTTTCTAACACATCATGACATCAAATAAGACATTTTATCAAATAAGACAAGTTACTAACAATTTTAATAAGATAGAGTGAATCTGCCAAAAAATTGTATTCCATTCAATGGTAGATGAGGAATATTAAAGTAAAATAATAAGGCTGGTTCTAAAAGCCTTTGAGGAAATGGCTATTTACAGAAAAAGAATGTTAAAATAGGATTGCTAGATTATATCCAAAATAAGTTAATGTCCTATCAGGCAATGAAATCACAGATTCTATTTCCTACTCGACATAATTATTTGGATCTGTACCCACAAAAACATCCACAAGTTGCCTTGCAATTTGATAGTATCTGGGGTAGTTAATCCTCTTAACACAATTTTCCAGAATATAACATCTTTGTGTCCTAAGTTTTCTCAATTTGCAGTACTCTTGGAATTGCAAATAATTTCTTTTCCAAGTCAATCTAGAATAGACATTTGAAATAATTACATTATAGAAAAGTAGTTCTTTTATACATACTAAAACTTCAGTGGTTACCAAAATAATGTTGTTAAATGCAATGTGTAGCTCCCCCAAAGAGCAAAACAAAGAACAACATAAAAATAGTTTGGGTGTAGGTGTGTGGCCTACCAGTCATGACCCTGGTTAAGAACAACTACACCCCAGGGAAGGGTGCCTGGGTTAGATACTCAGCTCCTGCTGCAGACTCCAAATTCTGGCTACATATCCTAGGAGGCAAATGTGATGGCTCAAGTAATTGGGCTCCTGCCCCCCCCACATTATGAGGCCTGGACTGGGTTCACTGGCTTCTGTTTGGTCCTGGTCCAATACCAGTCTTTGTAAGCACTTGGACAGTAAACAAATGAATTAACTATACTATTAACTAACCCACAGAGGTCTCTCTGTGCTCTCTCCTTCTCCCTCTCTCTGTGCCTCCGAAACATATAAATAAATGAAAACATCTTTTCAAAGTTTTAATAATCCAACAGGTCTCCAGAAAGAAAAAAAATAACATAGAAGAGAACATAAAATAAGATTGTAGAAATGATTTTAATCACTCGCAATAAATATAAAGGATTTAACTCACCTATTAAACAATAGAGGCTATTGCCATTGATAGAGAAAAGATGTCCTTCCATGAACATGAGTAAAACAGAACAAAACTAAAAGTTCTGAAATATTTTAAAATAGGATGTAATGATAAAAAGGCTACAAGAAAAATAATAACAGCAACAAACCAGGATGCTGCAAAATTAGTATTAGGCAAAATAAAAACAAATACAAAAGCATGAAAAGAAACATTTCTTCACAATAAGAGAAATTTTTATTAATATTTTTATAAGTCTAGAGAGATTGATTAAAGAGAACAAGAACTCAAAAACTAATAATTTCAGAGGATGTTACACATTTATTAAAAATTAATATACTCGCTTGATAAAAATTCAATAACACAACTTTAATAAAATTAACAAGCTTGATCTATGAGATTATAGAAAAATCTTGCAGCTGATAAGTGGAAATTACATGTTATTTTTAGTTCACATAGAACATTTTTTAAAATGACGACATACCAAGCTATCTTATACTAAGCTATAAGATCACTTTTGAAGATTTAATATCATCTTTTAAGTTAGTAATCAAAAATTTAACATAGCTGGATACAACAAAATCTTTAATTGAAAACTTAAAAATAGCTCATGAGTTAGAAATGACAGGGCCATTCCATATTTAAAACTAAACAACAGGGCCCGGCGCAGTGGCGCAAGTGGTTAAAGGTCCTCGCCTTGCACGCCCGGGATCCCATATGGGCGCCGGTTCTAATCCCGGCAGCCCTGCTTCCCTTCCAGCTCCCTGCCTGTGGCCTGGGAAAGCAGTCGAGGACAGCCCAAACCCTTGGGAACCTGCACCTGCGTGAGAGACCCGGAAGAGGCTCCTGGCTTCGGATTGGCATAATATCGACCCGTTGCGCTCACTTGGGGAGTGAATCATCATCGGACGGAAGATCTTCCTCTCTGTCTCTCCTCTCTGTATATCCGCCTTTCCAATGAAAAAAAAAATAATAAAAATAAATCTTAAAAAAAAACAAAAAAAAAACTAAACAACAAAAGTTTACATGAGGGCTAGAGCAGGATAACACTTAGAAATGTACAGCTTATAATAATTATAATTATTATAATTTTTCAAAGATTTAGTTATTTTTATTTGAAAGACAGTTTTACACCAGGTGGACAGGCAGACTGATCTTTCATCCACTGGTTCACCCCCAAAACAGTGCAGAAGCAGGAGGTGGGGCAGTCCAAAACCAGGAGCTTCCTCTGGATCGCCTATGTGGGCCACCCCCTGCTGCCCTTCCAGGCACATTACCAGGAGCTGGATGAGAAATGGAGCCACTGGGACTCAAACCAGATCTCAAAAACATGCTAGCACCACAGAAGGAAGCTTAACTTACTTTGCAAGGTGCTGGTCCGAATATACCTATACTTAAAAGGGAAAAGCTGCACCAGATAGTGGAAGAATTAGTAAAAACAAGAATCTGAATAATCCACAAACCAGACAACAAGAGATCTGGAGGAAAAACACAAACCAGAAACTGATTTTTTAAGAAACAAAGTAGACAAGACTCTAGCAAGACTGTTAAGTGCAGAACGACAAGGATAAACATTATTAAAAACAAACATTGATGCACAAACACAGCGAGTGTACACATTTTTTAAATGTCAACAGAGGGTAGGTATTTTGGTGCAGAACTTGGGAAAGCCGGAGTGTCTGGTCTTGTTTTCCTTCTGATTTCAGCTTCCTGCAAATGCACACCCTGGGATGGTGGGGAGGGGCGTAGATCCAGAGAGAGTTCCTGGTTCTGCTTCAGCCCTTCCTTGCCCTGGCTGTTGCAGGCAAGTTGGGAAATGACCCCGGTGGATAGAAAATATCCTTCTCTGTCCCTGCCTCTCCAATAAAAATGTGAAAAGTGCTAATTTTAGAAATCCTAAGAGAACAATATGAACAAGTTTATTCTAGTAGCAATAGAAAAACTAAACAATACAGAAACATTTCCAGAGAATGAAAAAATAAAATAAATAAATAAGTGAAAGCGATTCAAGAAGAAACACTAAGCCATATAACCTTCTCGCTCCCACCCCTCACTTCTCCAAGATGAGCTAAATCTACAGGCTTCAAAGAGTTTCAATTCATGTCATGAAGTTACTATGAGCTTACACATGCAGACAAGGGCAGTAGGAAAGAAAATTGCAGGCCTGCCTCACTAATCACAGATGAAAACTTCTGGACAAAACATTAGCAAATCAAATTCGGCAATCAATAACAAAAATCACCAACAAGTTCAGCATCGAAAAACCCCACTCCCTTAGATGCCAGATTACCAGAATCAAGGAGGAAAATAATAGGTCAATAAATAAAAACAAAATATGCGCTAAACTTGAACACCCATGATGAGAATTTCAAGACATTTCCTCCACATTAACCTATACAGAAAGTGCTCCATTGAGAGAGCGAAAACAGAAGTTCCTTGTGACAGCTAATGGCATCCAATCACCCTGAGCAGTCCTCTAAATGCTAACGACAGAACCAAGGTGATCCAGTAAACCTTGGCTACGGGTGAGCTAGAGCCGACATGGTAACTAGTGGAGAATTCTAGAACGCAGGACAAGGCCTGTCAGCCGTGACCATTCATATTCAACACTGTAGTGGGGGTTTTGGTCTGGACACTGGAATACCACACAACAAAAACTCAAACCTGACCAAATCCAGCTACTTAACCCTTAGTTCCTCTGCCCTAAGATTTTCTCTAGCATCTGGAATAGCGCCCTGGCTCTCAGGGCCGGCTCTCGTCTTTGGCATTTACACTCCTCCAAGTGTCTCTCAGGGCTTTGCGGTCACTCAGTCGCCCATACTGAACCCGTGGGAGGACTGAGGGGACACTCAGCCAGAGCACAGTGCCTCGAAGGTTCTGGAACTCCCCGCTCCCGCGCGGTCCCCCGGTGCGTGCCCAACAATGCGGGGCGGCGGGCAGGCCCGGTGGTCACCACGCGCGGCCCATTTCCTCGGGCCTCTGGCTCGGGGCGGCGCGCACCGCCCTCCCTGGTACTTTTTCAGGGGTGGTCCAGAGGCTGCGACGCCCTCCTCGCTCCTGGCCGCTGGCCCCTGTCCCCTCACCCCTGGCCGCGGCTCCCCGGCCCCTGGCCCCTCGCCTCCGGCCGCCCAGCCGCGCTTCCCGCCCGGGTCCGCCCCTCGGCCCCGCCGCCCGCGCAGGCGCCCCGCCCCGGCCCGCCCCGGCCCCGCCGCCCGCGCTCGCCCCTCAGCCGCGGCGGGGCCGCCGCTGCCGGCGCCTGAGGGCTCGCGCGCGCGGGCCCCGCCATGGAGGTGGAAGAGGCATTCCAGGCTGTGGGAGAGATGGGCATCTACCAGATGTACTTGTGCTTCCTGCTGGCCGTGCTGCTGCAGGTGAGTCCCCGCCGCCGCGGCCGTCCCGCTTCCCGGCTCGGGGCCCGCCGGCTGCGATACGCGTCTTCGGGCCGGACCGCCGAGCCCAAGGCCGGAGCTCTGCGAACGCCTGAGGCGTGGCGGGCGCCACGCAAGTAGCCCGGGTGGGCCCTGCCGAGGTCGCGGGCCTCTCCCGTGTCGCCGAGCCGCCACCTTGAGGGGTGGAGGAAGTGTGCAAGAGGTCCTTCATGAGCTATTAGGAAGGAATGCAGTGGCATTATCGGCGATAGATGTTTCCCAAAAGATGGTGGCAGTATGCTAGGGATTGTCCCCTACCTGTGGCACTGTCACCTTGGAATCTAGGACACAGTCCTGATAACCCGCAGACAAAAGGCTGGGTTTAGGGCAGCTTCGTGCAGCTATGGATGCCCACTTGGCAGCTTTCCTTCCACCAATGCTTAAGGTTTATTCCCTTTAGTGTAGGTGCTTCAACCCAAGGCCAATTCCTTGTGGCATTTATAAACAACCGGAGTATGGTTACCATTGGGTACTCTCCTTCCTTGTTGAGAATTCTCAGAACCTGTTTGCACACCCCAGCTGAAAAATGTGGGTTCCACATGCTTAACATGGCTGCAAATGAGATTTGACCAAGTTAAGTGGCCCATGGACATCCGTTGCTCCTGCACAGACCCTCTGTTAATGCCCAGGGTGAGCCAGCCACTTTACTCATTTCTTCAGTCAGTGCATACTGCCAGTGCCTAATGTGTGCTGAGCACCAAGCGGCTGTGATGGGAAGGTACCTGAAGGTGGTAATTGTAGGTAATTGCAGTGAATGTGTGATAAGGGCGGTGCTGGGTAAGCAAAATGCCAGGCCATAAGTTGCTTTAATCGTTATGTAAGGCAATGGCTAAATAGGAAAACCGGTTGACTTAGTGATTCTCTTTTTACATAAAATGTTGCAAATTTCTATTGATTGAATCACCATCAAGGAAAAAACCCCAAATGGTTCGAATGATAGATTGGATTTAGCATCAGTTCCAAGTTTCAGTTCACAAATATGCAGGATGAGGCTGCTTCAGAAGTTTATGGAGGGTGGAACTGAAAGATGAAATTTATTTTAGTGCCAAAAGTTTTTAAAAATCCTTGCATAGTTTTCTCATGAGGTGCTAATTCTGTGATGTCTTTGAAATACTGCAGTAGCCTGAAGTTCTGTTTAAGTTTGTGGTTTTAGCTTTAAATGCACTTAGCCTCAGGAGAAGAAAAATGTTTGTGCACAATGGCAGAAGAGTGCTTGATGCACAGAAAATAAAGTGGCAACCACGAGGCCCAGTGTTTCTCTTTCTTTTCTAAGAGTTGGAGAACACACTCCAGCCTGAGCACTTCCGGGCCCTCCACCACTCCCCACCCCTTCCTGTGTTGTCAGCCAGGCTGCCCAGTCACGTGTCCACCCACTTGGAATAAGTTGTGTTGAGTGGTATGTTCTGGGCTCAGGCCCTGTGTGTTGAACTCACCTACTTTTGTTTATGGTTGATCTCATGAGTTAGAGTTTGCTATCAGAGACTTCCAAGCTTACGGCGGTCATTGTTCAATAAACCTTCATTGACATATGATCAGTATATGGCATACCAGGACTGGATGTCAGAGTGTGAGAACGGGTGACTCATTGTTTGTCTGGTGGTTGGGAGCTGGGAGGTGCCCAGTAGTGGGTGTTTGCCAATGGAAGATTAGCTCCAGTCCCAGCAGAAGTGAATCCCTTACAGCTGCTCCATGTAATGAGGGCTCACACAGCTGTCCACAGCTGTCCTGAATATAAGCATGGAGTTCCCCATTGCTTGTCTACCAAGTCAGAGCTTGGAGCTGTTTTGAGCTGTGAGGCTGACCTGTGGAGTTGGAGAACTGAGGAGTTGCCTTTCGCACAGAGATTAAGGGCAATGTCAGCTTTCTGGGGGCTGGGATGTGGCTTCCCACAACAACAGGGAGATAGGGCATGAAGCCTTTTTCCAGAGTTGGCTTTCTAGGATCAGTCACTGTTTCCTTGCCATTGCCCGGGAAGGTGTGGACCACGTGCACAGCAACACTGCCAGAGGTTTGATAATGACCTACCCCAGCAGAGCAGCATATCCCTATAGAGGGACAGAAACGGAAACTGAATGAAAGCATTTTACCTGGTCCTCTTGGACTGTCATCATCATATTTTAAATGGCTTTAATTCCCTTTATTTCAAATGCATCAAATTCAAACTAAGAGAACAAAACCACAAACCAAACCAGCTTTAAAAGTCCTTAGGTCAACTGTTCTTACAGATGATTGATGCCATCATAATAGATGGACAAAAGTAACCTCACTATCCAGTTTATTTTGGTGGAAGACTTCCCTTCACACTCCTTGCAAACAGTCTTAGCAGTTTTCATCATGGTCTACTTTCAAATATGTATAGAATAGAGGAATGTTGTGATAATAGCAATCATTGGTTTACAACTACATAAGAAAAAGTTAAAGAAGAAAAATGTAGAAGTAATATTTATGGTCCAACAATTGGATTGATGGTTTTTACTGTCAAAATGCCTTGACTTTTTAAGGGTCAGTGCTATTTGAGGCATTTAAACATGAAAAATTCTGTTTAGTTTATTATTTTTGTTTCTTTTCTGATGATAATTTACAGTTTAAGCTATCATAAGCTTGTGTGTGTGTGTGTGTGTGTGTGTGTGTGTACATGCTTATTTGTCAGGCTGTTTTGGTTCATGTAGACATAAAATAAAAATGGACCCTTCCTTGTTCTAAGCTAGAGGCCCCAGATCTTTCATTTTTCTTATGAATTGTAGGTTGCAGTATAATATACCCAGAATTTAAGACATCAGGTTAGTGACAGGATCATATAACCTGTAACAAGCATTGGTTTCACCAGCAGAATTATGGTGCTATGTTTTAAACCACATTTTGTTTAGAAATACGTTATTTTCAGAGAACTATTATAAAGATTCTAGCCTTATTTTTTTGCTCTTAGAACTACCACTGCACTATGATTACCTGTGAAGTATCTTTTCACAGTGTTTTGGAAAGTGGAATGACTGAGCAGGTATTTTACACAAGAGGAAGCTGTAATAGGCAATACATGAAAAGATGTTTAATTTGAGGAGGCATCTGGGACGGATATATTAAAACTACTAGGAAACACCATTTGCACTTATATGTTAGTGAGCAGTCTAAAGTACAAGTAGGATGGAAGGGAGAAATTTCTGGTAAAATTAAAACCTAGTGTTGGCTCCCTAAGCCATTCACCATACTTGTGCTCAAGGAGATGGGTGTGGAACATTTATTACATCCTTGTATGTATATGGTAACAAGACACAGAAACTGCCTAAATGATTTTCATAAAGGGAGTATGTAAAATGTTTACCAAATTGGTGAACACAACAGCTGAAAAGAATGAACTAGGTTTTTCTGCAGCAATGGAGATAGCTATCTAAAACAGCCCCACTGTCCAGCCCACAGACGTGCCAGTGGGTGCCACTTTCTGTCTAGCCATGCCTGCACCAGTCAGAGTGGCAGGCCAAGAGGGAGGTGCCCGCTGTTTCCATAATAGGCCTATTCCCACTTTTGCATGTTGCACTCTCCAGGTGGTTCTGCAGTTTAACCTGACAGAATTAGTCCCCAGTGCCAGCATCTGCCAGTTGATGCTGCAGCAGAGCCCAACCAACCCACACCCACTCTGACTTGTGCTTGCACCAGTAGGAATAGTCAATCCAACTGGGTTTTTCCCTGATCCAGCTCACATGAGGCCAACAGGTGTTGTAGCCCTGCCCGGACTAGTCTGCCCCTATCCCAAGTTATGCTCTCCAGTGGGAGTGATGATTCAGCAGGGAAGCCCCATGCTGCCCCCTACCAGGTGTGTCCCCTTCCCTTCCTGCCCCCAGTTCTCATGTGTGCTGGTTGGGTGCTATGGCCCAGTCTGGCATGGCCCCCCTCACCTTGGCATTTGCCAGTGGGTGCTTTAGCCTGGACTAGCCCAGCCAACCCCCCAATTCCAGCTCAGGTTAGTGGGGATTGCAGCCTAGCCCAGCCTAGCTGGCACCCAGTCCCAGCCCTCATGTGTACTGGCATGTGTTGTGACAACACCTGGCCTAGCCCACATACCATTCTGGTGCTTGGATTTGCCAGTGGGTGATGTGAACTGTCCCTGCCTGGTTCTCCCCCAGCCTATGCCAAATCTGTGCTGGTGAGTACTGTTCCCTGGCCTGGTCTGGGCTGCTCCATATTGTGGCTCTTATGCTCACCGCAGGGACTTTGTCCCAACAGAAGAGTTCCCCAAGCTCCTCCATCAGAACCTTTTCCATTGCCAGATCTCATGCACACTGGTGGGTCCATGGGCCAATCCTACTCAGTCCACTTCCTATCCTAGCAGGATCAGTGGCCTTTCCTGATCAGCCTTCAACCCATTCTGGTTTTTATTGTTGGGTATTTCAGCCCTGCCAAGGCTGGTTCACACCCAGACACAGCTCACACCTGGCTCAGCAGGGGCTAAAACCTAGCCTAGCCTGTCCTATACCTACCTACCCTGGTACTCCAGAGTAGCAGTTGGTGCTGGAGTCTAGTCTGGCTTGGTATGCCCAGCTCCAGTCCACACTGGAGTGGACCAAGGGACACTGCAGCTATATCCAGTCCAATATGCAGCCCCAACTCTGGACCCCACACTCATCAGTGGGAACCACAGACCAGCTAGGGTGTCCCCTTAGTTCCCCAACCAGGCCTGTTCTAGCCATAGATCTTGCGTGTGCCAGTGGTTGCTCTGATCCAGCTTGCTATAGTCTGTCACCTGTCATGACCTTTGCCTTGGATGCTGTAGCCTGGCCTGACCTAGCCTGTCCTATCCCCAGTACTGTCTCTCGCTGGTGGGTGCTGAAACCTGGCCCTGTTCAGTCTGCTTCCATCCCTGGCTCATGCATACTGGTTGTGTGACAGCCTAGTCTGGCATGAGTTGTGTTCAAGCCTGGTTTCTGACCTTGCCGGTGAGGTAAGGTTTG